TTGATCGAAGTGTATGTACGCTTGAGGGGAGGGGTCGTGATATGCGTACGATAAACAACTAGGGGGGAGGGGGGGTCAATTTTTGACCAAATTTTTGCGTACGTACTTTGTGAATGACCCCTAATCATATTTGGGGTCATATGGAGCCTAATCGACGAGTTGACAGACATTTCAAAGGTCGAGAGGGAACTGGAGGAGAAAGACAAGGACGAAATGCGCGAATACAAGGTCTCCGTCTGGTCTAACCATGTCTTATATCTGGCGTACATTCTTCTGGCCATATATGCCGTAATCAGAGAGAAGTATCCGCTTTTGTTGGCCTTTTGTGTGGTCGACCTCATACTCGACTTCATATTTATCTGGGATTTCGACGGAATATTTACATTCATGTTTGAGATGAGTGTAACTCTTATGTGTTTTATTACTGCTATTTATTACAAATATCATCAAAATATTCCTTGGAATCCATTTTAATCTCATTTCTTAATTGTATTATATTTTTGATTTTATCAATATTATCAATATTTCGTATTTACGATATTAATGTTATTTAGTATTTTAAATAAAAATATATTGTGTGCTAATATATTCATTATAAATTATTATAATATTGCAAATTATTTTCAAATGCATATGCAATATTGAATAATTAGTGATGGTTTACAGGTATACTATTCGTGATTACACAACAGTTGTGAAGTAACCTTAAATTCAATGAATACAATCTCAACTATTATTTTCATTTATGATAAAGTATTTATCATTTTATCATTTGTCTCAAATTGGAGACTTTCCCATCAATCCATTGATCCTATGATCACAAGAGTTACATATTAAGTGGTATTAACTCAATAAGGCAACAGTTTATCAATTAAACTGGTAATACTTGCAATCCCCTGATTGAATCATTTATTTATCACTCTCTGTATCTAATTACAGTATAATTTAATATAAAGGTATAAAAGAGTTGTCAATTATTTTGGACATCTTAATAGAGAAAGTGATACCCTTTTGAAGGTGAGATACAAAATGAAATAATCAATCATTTGGTGCACTTTTAGAGTAGAAATACTTGTCTAAAAATAGCAGACATATAGAGTCAACACTCGCAACAAGTTTTTGAAGTTTAGTTCATAAAGAAGAAGAAATCATAAATAGATATATCATTATCAGTGCAATCGTACGAATGTTGTACTCTATTCACAAATAGTAATAAACAAAAATCATATTACAAAGAGTAAATTATTGTTTATACCACTATATTAAGACTATTTCAATTAAGTAGGTGTATTATAAATTATAATATACGGTAAAGTAAATTATACTTATATTTTAAACACAACTGTACTGTACTTTAAGCGTTAATTAATAAATATACAATGCTATTATATAATACATAAGTCCAGCAATCATGATAGTTCTTATAATACTTGTAATACTAGTTAATAAAATAGTTATCCTTGAATGACAAATACAGTACATAAGGATATAAAGTACTTCACGAATGATTCATTTGCTTTAATATTGTCTATTAGTGGTGCTATTATACACTAATAATTGGTTTCACCTTCTAGTCTATTGTATATTAATTACAATACAATATCTAATTCTCATATATTATGAAATCATAAGTTCTAAAATAAATTCTGAATGTACTGTACACAATACACAATGTGAGGGCAATCAAACTTAATAAGCCAGTCACTATTTTTACAGATACTATTTTAAGAATAGAATAATTTTATATAAATTTTTCTTAACAAGATAAAAAAAACTATTATATAATTCATTTCCAATTAAACTACAGTTCAGCCAAATGACCTGTCACTTTATGGGTTTTATCAAGTGCTGAATCCGTGTGTACTTTATTATAAGTACTCAATAATTCCGTATAGTTTGCAAACACCAGTGCAGTCCATACCAGTTCCCTCTCTACCTATCCCTCCACTTCACACACACTCTGACCGGGAATTCCTATGACACCAATTAACTCCAGAAAAACCATTTTCATATCAATTTTTAATAAACCTTAACTTGTATTGTTCATTATACTGGTTAAATCTCGATAAAAATAATAAAAATAATTAATTAACAAATTATTTCTAGAAATTAAAATTAGATACAGCAGTTTGAAAAATGATGTTTTGTACAAAAGTGACACATTTTTGGCAAATTGAATTAAAAATCATAAATACAGTAAAAAAGAGATCAAAATATTGTCGGCAATCGTACGTGTATTTCATGTGAAATCACAATTTTTATTATTACTTTTAATTAAATATTATTTACTGCCTTTATTTTGTTAGGATATTAATTGTACTCAAAATTCTTATATAAACATAAACTATATTTTCGAAAAAAATTGGTTTAAAAATCAAAGTACGAAAAAAAGGAAAATACTTTTTGCCCTAAAATTGTGTAATAAATTCTGTACTCATTCTGATAAACGTCTCGAAGTAGGGAAACCCCGCATAAAACTCAATGTATTTGTAGTAAAAGTATATCTCAAACTTGATATCAAGGAATGGCTATAAATATAAAGTTGATATGTCTTTAGACTTATTACTATTCCTTTGAATCACAACGAAGGCATTGAATGTCTAAAACTGAAGCCAAAACTTTATGAAATAGTTTGATATTTATGTTACAACATTGATTTGGATTAAAAGAATTGTGGACTTGATTTGAAAATTGGACAAAATGTGCAAATATTTGTTACTGTGTGTCCTATTTATAGGACTGATACTAATGCTCGTCGTCTCATATAAGCATTCATTGGGCGAAGAAGTTGAAGGCATTGTCGACCGAACCGAAGATGTGATCGTAAACAGTGAGAAGCGATTGACTGAATATTTCGCACAACTTAAACGATAACCACTTTTATCATCATTCAAGTCATCCAATCATTTATTTACTTAATATTTCTTATGATTTCTTTACATAACATGTTTGAAATATTTAATGTGAATTTTTGTCATACTTTTTAACTTATATCCATTATATTTATAAGTAATTTTACAACACTTATTATGTAAATACTGATCTGTGTTATTTTCAAATAACATTAATTTTTACTAAACTATAAACAATTTTGATAATTTGTAAAATGATTAGATCTCAAGAGAAAATAAGTCAAAATAAAATTTTGAAAATATCATAAATAACATGTTGTTTTATTTACTTAATTATAGTAAGATAACGAAATTTCCGTTATATAATCAATGACTTAATATAAGTTATATTTTTTTAAAATTTATTTGATTAATAATAATAATAAATTTCAAAGTTGAATACCTATAGTGAAATGTACAAAATATTTAAAATCAAATATAGACTTATTTTTAGTTTTTAGCAAACATCACATTTATTTACAAAATCCTAATTAAGCAAACATTAAAATATTTTGTCATTGTAGTGCATGTACTTGATTTTAAACTTGTGCCTTTTGAAAAATTTAATCAATATATCAATTTATACATCAAAATAAATCATGTTTAAGTTGCACAAAATTAATAGTATAGGTATTTTCAATTAACTAAATATTTGTGGTACTTTTCCGCTTTTATGATTTATTATTTATAGTTAAACCCATTAAATGTGTCTAATAATGATCGTACAGTAGACTTGACTGTCAATACAAAAATTATTTGACAGACTTTTGTTTAAATATATGAAATCCTGGAAATTGTTTTGTTTTCTCTCAAAGGTATTCTAATGTATAACACAAATATGATATAAAAGACATTTTAACTGAAAATTTAAACACAATTGTTTCCACAAAAGTTGACAAAATTTATCACAATTTGGTATTTAAGTCAAAAAAAATTAATAGCTTGTAGAAAAGTTTAAAACATTTAAATATCTTTAATAAATCAAAACTATTTGTAGATTAAAAGTTCTTATACCATAATCTAATAATTATGGACAAAAATATCGTCAATTATGACCCGAATACAGATCCGGCGGCAAAACAATTGGAAAACTTTAAGAAAACACAAATCAATCGAAAGGTAATAAAAAAGACGAAATATTTGCGAATTGTAACCATTTGTGGCCAAACAGACGGAACAGATTACAGATGTGTTTGGAGTTCCCGTCGGAGACAAGACTAATATGATAACAGTTGGTCCGCGCGGACCCGNATCAAAGGGATTGAACTCCCATTTGGCCGCCTCTTCGTATGTCATCACTTGTATGTATAGAGTCCAAGAGGGGTAGTCCTTGCGAGCGATCGCGTCAAACAAGTCATGCACTGAATAATCCGGATCAGTCGCTATATTTGAAATTGAAAATCAAAATAATTAAAACATAAAACTCAACCCACAATTCAATTGCTCAGAAGTCCTACCGACGAGTCTGTTGGCGGTGTCGACGTCCAGATTCTTAACCCCCTGATTGGTCCTCCAAAAGAACTTGTTATAAACGGGTTGATTGTCACTATTGACCAGTTTGTAAGTACTGGAGCCCCAGCCATCCATATGCCGGTGCCCATCAGGTATGCCTCTGTCGCCAAACATGAATGTCAACTGATGTAAGCACTCGTGTCTGAGTGTATAGAAATCCCAACGAGCGTTATAGTCGAGTAGATTTGTTTGCGGATTACGTTTTTGGGAGTGAATGAAAGACATGAACTGAAACGAGTCCCGTATGAAGAAGACCGGAGTGTTGTTGCCCACCAGATCCCAGTTGCCCTCTTCGGTGTAGAACTTGACGGCAAACCCTCGCGGATCCCGTACCGTATCGGCTGACCCACGCTCGCGCACCACAGTGGAGAACCGGGCGGCCACGGGTGTCCTTTTGCCCACTGTGTTGAATAGGGCGGCCCTACAGTACTTTGTGATTTCAGGCCGAGTCACCTGAGTGTCGAAAATTAGGAAATAATGTTATTATTTGTTAAAATGTTAAAGTTTTACAATTACAAACTTCGAAGTAACCGAAAGCACCGGCACCTTTAGCGTGAACTACCCGTTCCGGTGGTCGTTCCCTATCGAAGTGCGCCATTTCATCCAAATAGATGATATCCTGGAGAAGTGCGGGTCCGCGCGGACCAACTGTTATCATATTAGTCTTGTCTCCGACGGGAACTCCAAACACATCTGTAATGTGTTCCGTCTGTTTGGCCACAAATGGTTACAATTTGCAAATATTTCGTCTTTTTTATTACCTTTCGATTGATTTGTGTTTTCTTAAAGTTTTCCAATTGTTTTGCCGCCGGATCTGTATTCGGGTCATAATTGACGATATTTTTGTCCATAATTATTAGATT